CTTCCACATCCTGATACTGTTAAGTTAGAAGTAAGTCCTAGAACTCTGTCTTTTTGTTTGCTGTTTACCAAATATTTTGCTTTTTTTCCCCCCCGAAGCATGTTCTTAAAGTGAAAATAATTGATTTTAAAATCCAGTGACTGGTATAGCCAAAGGCCTGTGTACTGTGTAGCAAGCTGAACCTAAATTCTGGGGCAAGGTCCCTAGATTCTGGAGCATTCTGCTGGAAATATTTAGCAGCTTTCAGACCTCTACAAACTTCTATTTAAAATTAAGTAAATATATAAATTAATATTGTGAATATCAGGAGATTACTGTATTTATTATGTCAGAGCTATTTAGTTTGTTTTATATGGTCATCCTGTTTTCAGTCTGCCACAGATTGTCATCTTTACATTTCAGGGTCAACAGCTTATCAGCATGAACAGAGAAATTTTCACTTCTCGGAGTTGTTATGGTTGCATGGGAGCTTTCGAAAAGTACTACTACAGCAGGAACACTTGATTTTACTTCTCAACCTGTAGTCCCTAAAACATTATTTAAAGATCAAGATTTTGAACTCTGAGAAGTAAATATTATCCTGATACAATGTAACAAGTTTAGTTCCCTAGTCTCAAGGCTGTTTTATCAGTATTGTGCCATGATGAGGACAGAAGCAGTCCTGGGAACAGGAATTGGAGCACAGCTCTTCCCGATGCAAACTAAACGTCTTAACCACATGGCCACTGAGTCAGTCAGATTCCCACTTGTGTTTCCTGCACCAGTGGTTTGCAGGTTCTTTGTTGTATGGTGGCTTAGTTTCCACAGGCATAGTAGCACGGAGTGTCCCACACTAGTTCGTGTGCTAGGGCACTGTCAAAGGAGGGCAAACGTATAGGTTTTAGTGCTGTCACCCTGTGAAGAGAAGTGTACTGTACATTAGTTTCACACCTGCTGGGCAAGTGTTGTAATGCTTAGGCTATTACTTAAATGAGAGGCATCACTTTTTGTTCTTGTTACTGTAAAAGTTTTTGCCTGTCATTGCATTTTGTCAATAGCCTACTCCTATCACTGGGACAGGATGCACACTGAGTATGCCCATTCAGTGATTTTTATTATTTTTGGGGGGGGAGGGGGGATTTTAGGCAAAACGGTACATTTTTTCCTGGATACCTGTACATCTTGAATGATGCTAAGAAAGATGCCAAGACACTAATATTGAACCCATTTTGACTGTGTCCAGAAATAATTTTAGACTCCTAGAGGACTTTCAAGGTACCTCTGGAGTTGTTTGGATCATATTTGGACTGCTTCTCCCTCTGTCCTGTGTTAGGTGTTAAGCTGCTTGCGAGACGTAGACCGAAGTCTGCACAAATCAGAGAATGCAGAGCAATTGCTTATGGCTGCAGAGATGTCTATGCTCTGCAGCAGCAGTTGAATTTTAGAGAGAGCAGAGTTACTATTTGAAGGAGAAGATCCTATTTCAGCCTTTTTTTTATACTTCTGAAGAAGAGTGCTATAAATAGTGGAAAAAGAAAACTTTCTTTCATGGTACAAAATTCTTGCGCGTGCTTTGTTCCAAACCACTTCTGAGCATATTTCACTCAGCCATATATGTGTCTGTATTAATATACTTTGAAAGTTATGGCTATAATGGATCCCCAGCTTGCTAAGTCGGAGTAGTTTTGTGTGACAGCACATATGCTTGTCAAAAAAGATTCTTTGAGTAAATCTGTTGAAGAAAATATTTTTGTAAATCTGCAAGAGCCATAGTTATAGCTGAGTTACATGTAGGGATCAAAATGATTAGCCAGGAATCTAATACTCTGCAGGGAGATGTTCAGTTTTGTGGTATGCTTCTACATGATACACTTAAGTAAAGAAAAAAAGGCTTAATACATATGTACCATAAATGTTCTCTACTACAAAATTACTTTTTTCTGAATGGACATCACTGTCTAAAAATACACTTACAATGGTGGGTAGAATAAAGTGTTGGCTTAATACAGCTCTCTGATCGCAGTATTTTGTGGGGGAAAAAAAATGATACGTGGCACTTAAAATTTTCTTTCAAATCCTACAAAAGCCAAAGTTGTCCTTAGGATACCAACACAAAAACAATGAATGGTATGTCCATTCCACAGATAAATCATAAGTTAAATTTATTGCTCAGTGGCACAGGGTAATACAGAGAAAGGGTTAGATAATCCATAGTGGTTTTCTTATACCACAGGATATGTATACAGCTTTTTTTATTTTTATTTTTTGTGATCCAATACTGGAGCTGCTTACTGTATCAGAGATTTATCACATCTAAAATTTTACTCAAATATTTTGAACTACATTACTGCAAACTTTTCTAGGAAAACGAATTTACATAGCACTTTTCATTTATAACATTAAACAGTTTTTTCCCACTTCAAAATTAAATCCCACTATCATACCTACTTAAATAAAAAATCTGCTTTTGCAACAGTTTATTATCATGGAAAATATTTCTTTAAAGGTACTGTGAGGGCCTAAATTAAACTAATCTGTTGCTTACCACAAGAGGGCACATTCAGTCACTTCACGGTTCATGCTGCAGAATGAAATCTTTCCAGGATGGTATTTTGTATCACACAAGAGATTTGAAATTTCTTGTGTAAGTACGTTGTTCTTTTCTGAATTACTTCACTCGTAAGGCAAGACTTATTAATGCATTGCATATCTATATTGTTTTTAAACAGGCTGACACAGATTTTGAAGTTAAGTTTATTTTTTTCTTATATCTTTCTCAGACTCTCTATTGGGCGTCAATAAAAGAATCTCTTCCCAAGTGGGAACAGTTTCTTTTAGGAAGAGCAGAAGTTCCTATTGGTTTTAAGAAAATGAGAACTGCAAAACAGACATAAGCTACCCCGAAGAAGATTCACAAAAATAAACCTTCTAGTTTCATTTTGTTTTGTAATTTATGGCTTAAGCAGACAAGATCATCCAGATCAGGCAACAGAATATCATGCCATTAAATTGTAATGTAAATAATTTAAATGAAAACTAACTGTATTGGATAGTTTGTTTCCATTGTTGCACGGTGTATGATTTTACTTCTGTTATGTAGTAGAGAAGCAATCATCAAGGAGGCTTTTAGGATTGAAAGTGAGAAACACTGGTGTATAGAAACCCACCAAAGCAATTGCTTTTTCAGTATGAGAAGAATTTTAGGTTATTTTTAATTCTCTGCTTCTACATATAAGTGCAATAAGTAAAGACAGATTCATGCATTATCTTTCTTCGCTGCAGTCATCTGTGCTGTATGTCTCTCTGTGGATGAGGGAGAAAGGGGGAATTTGCTGTTAACAGGAAAGGCAGGCAGGCTGCATCAGACAGAGTAGCCGTGGTTTAGCATGAGGAATCTGTGTAAAAACCTTCGTGAGAGCAGTTGTAGAGGGAAAACCTTGAACTTCTGCATCTTGCTTTCCCTGATTTTTGTCACTGCCACTTTCATTGCTCCTACACCTCGCTCCAGTAACCACTGCTGCTTTCCCCAACCTCCTGCTGCCTACTCTGTATTTCCTGTCTAATGGATGGGTAAGGACAAGAAAAAGTAAACAAATCTCTAGGGTTTTTTGCTACTTCCAGGCTGCTGTTAATGCTATTTTCTTTACATTGACCTGATCTACGAGTGAGAACTTTTGCTTAGGCATGAAAAGTTTGAAAGAAGCAAACTGAAAGGTAGCTGGCAGTGGCTGTCTTAAGAACCAAGCATATATAGAAGTCAAGGAGATAATATTTTCATTTTCAGCCATTGAACAGCTCCTCAGCCTCCTCCTACGGAGGTGCAGTATCAGGGAGTTTTGATTGTACAGTGGGCTAACTCGGTATGAAAATGTCACTGTTCTAGTGCAGTGCTTTTTAAAGTATCAGTGCAGTGGAAGATCCTTCCAGGTGTCTGACTTGGCCTGCAGAAACTTAATCCTTCCTCAGGAAAGGAAGCCTGGAAAAAAAATCTTCTTTTAAAATTAAGAATCTGGACTTGAGTCAATATATTGTTAAAATTTAATCTCCTATACAACAACATACTTCCACCCCCGAGCCGAAAGTAGCAGAAAAAAAAATTTACCTCTGCCAGTGTTTGAGGATATGAAAATGTAATGATTACAGATTTTGCTAGGCGACTAGTGAAATGATCTGTGCATCTCCATGCTACGTTTGTTGGGGTTTTTTTTAATAGAAGGGATGTTTTAATGACTTTTATTGAAACTGGGGTATTTTTTAGCAACATTTCTCATAAATGTCCTGACTGCTTTGGATCTGTGCACTAAAAAGCTTGTGTTCATTTAGTTGATTAAACATGGTTAAGTTATTCACTGATTAGCTGTTCGTGGGGCGTTTATGGTCCAATCAGAACTAGGGAACTAACTTCTAGCTGAAAACTGTAGGAAGTCTGGGTAGTCTTTAAGGACCAACATCTGCAGACACAGTTCTCCATGATATTATGCACTCAGTTTTGTCAGAATTTAAATTAGCTGAAGAATTACTGACAAAATAAAATCAAAATTTCAGCTGCCATACAAAATTCTTCTATGTTTTCAATGGGAATATTAAGAGTTCATTTAAAACTTTTTCTATTGAAGTGTCCATTAAACTGATAAGTTTTTACAGAAACTGCCATCTTAGAAATATCCTGTTGAGTGGGTGTTGGTGTTTGTAACAATAACGTTGTTTTCATAATATGTGATGGCAGATTAGCACGCTTCTCTGCAGTGTTGTTAACAGTTGTAATTAAGGAATAAACAGTAAAGGGTGTCAGTCCGATGACAATTTCATCTATAGTGTCACAATACAAAATGTCACAAAATATTAGAACTGTTATATAACTACAAAAATATCAAATTAGGCTTTCATTTTACAAGCAGAGAGCTTAAAAAAAACCCTGGCATAGAGACCGTTGCAATTTTATACCTACTCAGTGTTCTGTCACAAAGACAACTTGGTAATATTTTCTTCTGTAAGATCACAATGTGGTTCTCAATCTGATTTAGCGGGAACGTGTACGGATCTTAGAATTGTAGAGTTCACATTTAAAAATTTAAAATTTAAAAATTGGAACCAGTTGAGCAGACAAGAAGGAAAAGCTATTACACATGATGCCCAGAAAGAAGGGATGGGTGAGCAGTTAGTTCCTAACAAAGACTAGGATTCATCCTGGCCTTTGCATCCAAAGGGAAATCACTTAAACTAAAATCTGGGCCCCTAAGTACTTTATACGTGTGAATAATCTGGGTCTTTATCTCTTTGGACTCCGCCTAAACATTGGGACACAATGCAGATGCTCACTATCTCCTTGCCCCTTTTGATTTCCCATAGAAGAAAAGCAAAGTGTGTGGAGTATGAGGGCACGGCAGCTGCATGAGTGAGGATTTTGTAGCGTGCTGTGAAAGGCACCTGCAAGCAGGGTTAGTGTAGTTTTTGTGCTGCAGTTAACTGCTCAGATACTGTGTTTCTGATTATTTTGTTGTTATTGGACGAAGAGATTAAGATTAAAGCGAAATTATCTTCTTTTCAAAGAAGGAAATTACTTCTTTTTTTTTTTTTCCCCATTGCAGCATAGCTTTAGACGCAATAGGACAACTAGTGCATGGAAAACTATACAGAAATGTGTCCAGAAAAGGATAAAATGAAGAGAAACGTTTACAGCTGGAATGTGTATAGGTGACTGCTCTCGGAGACAAGAGCCTTCGTGTTGGCCTGTGGTCTGATATAAATAAATGCAATTGCATGTGACTGTGAAACAGCACAGCAGTCGGGGCAGGGAGGCACACAGCAGGGCCGTTAAGGGACAGGAGCGAGCGCTGCCTGATTTGGCACAGACCTCAGGGCAAGCAGTGGCAGGGAACATAATTATATGATATCTCCTGTTATACTGAGATTTGTTGAGTGCACAGGTTCATTTACCATGGCTGAGCTAGCTTGCCACTTGCCTTTCGATAGATACAAATTTGAGAAAGCAAATGTTAGTTAAGCTTAAGTGTGTTTAAAAAAAAAATAAATTAAAAAATACCCCAAACTGATTGATACTGATATGGTTTAATGTCGGCTTTAAATGAGACCTTGAATGAGTATTCTTCATCATGTCAAGGCTGTTACTTCAAACATACTCAGTCTATGTAGTTATACCCCATCTTATCCCAAGCTTTTATGTATATAAGTATAAAGCATGTATTATGTATATTACATTACATATATAAATCTTATGTAATTTCCTACCCATCTTGGGTAAATGTTTTTTTTTCCCTCAGAACTTAACCTATTACTCTGTGTTCTTGACTTTCTGCTTGCCCTTTTGTGCTAAAATACACATGTACATAAGCTGCAGTGGTCCTAAGAGCCTGTTGCTTCTTCTGCTTTTCTGGTGGGTGGGAGAAAGCAATTGAGAGAAGAGCAGCAAGTAAAACCAAAGGTTTTGCCTGTTCGTAAGTTAATCTTTGAGTATCTTGCAAGAAGAAATAATTAATCGCCCTTTTACAGGTTGATGCAGAGATGAGCAACCACAGTACTAACCCAGGAGCACCACCTGTTCACCCATCTTGTCACCTTTACCATCGCATTCCCGAGCTTTTTCCTTTCACAGTTACTCTGGCTGTGGGGGCAGTAGCAGAAGGCATGTTAGTTTTCCCTAGGATAAGAAATTTCTTACTCCGCAGAATCTTTCTCAAACCTATTAATTTCATTTGAGAGTACATATGAAATAACAAGAGGGTTTAGACGCATGATGTTTGACACTTACTATGGTATCCTCTTGATTGTATTTATTTGGGGTCATGTTTTTCAGAGAAGTTGGGGGCTGGATTTTAGGCTGAGCTTACAGTTCTTCATTCCTGTCTTTTTCACTCACATAGAGCAGGTCAGGGATGTAGATGCTCAGTGTGAGCTGGTTGGTACTGAAAGATAGGAAAACCAAATTTGAAACTGAGTGTACTTTTAGAAGTTACATCTGAAAGAAAACATTATTTACTCCATAACGGTAGTTTTCATAATATTTTAATAGTTGTGTTCAGATAGAACTTGACCTTAAATATCACCCCAAATGCAAGCTGTTTTAACATATTTGTAATGCTAAATTCTTCATTGCTGTAATATTCTGTTTGCTCAAGGATTATAATCCATGGCTATACTGTGATAACAGTTGAAATAAAGCTTTGATCCTGTAGTCGCTGCCTCTTGGATTTCAATGTTATACTGCGCGTATGTGTTGGGTGGAAATTGGTGCCTGCTGTAGCCAAGTGTGCGGACAGTGAGTATGCCAGTGCTAAATACTTCGCTTAGGTGTGGTGGTTATTTTCCTTGGTTTTCCTCTGACGCTGATCTGAAATATCAATCTGCTGAATGGCGATTAGAATCGCAGAAGTTTATTGCTGAAAAAATCCAAATGGGAGGAATCCCAGATTATTTGCACTCTTCCTATCGTTTCACAGTGACTGCGTGCTGAATTACTTCAGGTACGTGATTACTAGCGAGATACGGACAGAGATACTTAAACCCTTGCAAAGGAAACAGGTGGGGAAAAACCCCGGGTTCTTTAGTGCATCCTCCTGCTGCGTGAAGCTCTTTGTCTTTGCCGTAAATAGGGCGATTTAATTTGGGAATTTGCTAACTCCTTTTAAACAGCTCTTGAAAATGCCCTAAATTGTACCCGCCGTGTGCGCAGTCTTCCAGTGGTCTCTCTCTCGTTTGAGTTACTTTGCATACGTTTGTTTGTAACGCATACGGATAGGGAGTATGCTCGCTTCTTCCCATGAGTTTTATCACTAGCGATGATGATCTTAAAAATAAATGTGTGGTGTTCTTTCTCCTTACTCTCAGTCGTATCACCTACCAGAAAGCCCTAATAGGCAACAAAATAGTGTGAGACGGTATTTACATCACACTTTTGAAACGGATTCAAGCAGAGCCAGCTGCCGTAAGATTATTTTACAAATATATTGCGAATTAATAAAAGGAAAAATTTGCCGTCCCTTAAGTAAATTACAGTCTCCTTGACTAATTACATAGCTTGAAGCTGCAGTAAATTAGTACCTGCCTCACAGCGGTGTTGGGAAACGTAATTTTGGTTTCCAGACTTGTATTTCTTTACACATTTAGTTTGTATATGTTCCCAGCAGCTTCATTCACGGTGCTCTAACTGTTGCTCAATAAAAGCTTCCGGAGGGTAATTTGCTTAAGTGAACCCCATGCCTGCAGCTTTGTTAGGCGCGATCTAACCTGCGCGCTTCCCCGGCAG